CATTATCTGAGTGCCGATGTTTAATTGTTTTAAATCCCGATACGTAACTGATTTTTTGGGTGATGCTAGGTTGGTTGAGCCTTTTTATATTCGGAGAATTATGTTAGAGCCTTTTATATTCAGAGAATTATGTACAAAATTATATGATAACGTTCATTCTTCCTTCTGTCGAAAGCCAGCTTCTTATATACTTCTTTGCTCTATTCTTTTCCACAATTCTCATAATAAAGAAAATGAAGTAATTTTCAAATGAAGTTACAAAATATGAAGTAACGACTACAAGATAACCGAGGAATGATGTAATGTCTAGCTAGCGAATGCGATATGTGGTAATGGAAAGAAAAATGAAAATAATATGTAAAATTTGATAAGGTACGAAGAATGAAGTAATGATGCACGGAAAATGTAGTAATCGATGCTGGGTAACCGAACGATCATCAAATGTAGTCATCAATTCCGGGAGTCAGGGGATCGGATCATAGGCCTGCCGATAAAAACTTTCGAGCAACACCTTTTTGTTGGAAGAATCATCCACTTTATCAGTAATAAACCATCCGATCACCGGAGAAACAACAGATTCATTAGAATTTTCAAGAATCTCTTGATTAGCACCGACAAACCCAGCTACAAATTTCAAAAAGTAACCAGTATCAGTAGTAAAAGGAACATCAACCATGCCGTCTGGAATATCAGGAATTTCTACATTGTTGTATGGAAAAGGCGTTCCTGAACGATTATAAGGAAAGAAGGCTAACATCCACCCTGAAATAAAAATATCGTCTCCTGAACCGAATTGTTTGTATATATTTATAATTTTACTCCAAAAATCTTCGTCAACCTCGCCACGATAAGTTTCTACTAATTTCCAAATCACAGGTTCAAGGCGATCTAACCAAAAATCAAGTTCTAAATTTAACTTTCTTAATTGAACAACTTTTTCTTGAAGCTTATTCCAATCATCGAGAGTTCCCTCAAGTGTAACTTTTGGAATTCCACAAAAAACTGAGGTTCTAAAATTGAAATATGCCTTAAATGTATCTAATAACACAATACGGCTTGCTGTTAAACTGCTTGAAGTTGTTGTTGAAAAATCACATTCTAATAATTCTTTAAATTCAATTTTTTCCACATGCTCATCAGTTTTCCTGACAAGTCTATTTACAGCTTCTTGCCAATCACCTTCAAGAGTATTTCCAGATAAGATATCGCCAACAAAAACATCAATTAATTTTTTCCTTCATGTTTAACAAATCTGTCACGGAATTTTTCTGAATTATTATTAATATGATTACTAACGCCTTGAGCAACAGCGAGCCAAATATCATCAGGACTTAAACGTAAATGTTTGTGGTGGTTATAGGCATGAAGAATAGCAGCCGCAAAGCCGTTAGTACAGCAAGTGTTCTCGAGAGTAATCTTTTTAGATCTTGCTGCATCGTCATAATTGGAGGAAAGTGCGTATATTTTTGGGTTCTTAAAAATTCTAGAAATCTTATCTTCAACTGAAATATGAGGTTCTATTTTATTATCAAGTTCGACTTTCTTGGTGAGGATTTGAGTACTATGAGAAGTCATCTTTGCAAACTGCAAAATTTGTGATGG